TTGTCAAAGTGGCAGCTGCACTCATCTGTATTTTCTATCGTATCTTCTAAAATGGACTTTCAGGCCCTGCAGGCACAAATCCATCAAATCAGCAGACATGACAAATGTTTAAGCAATGATTGTCTGTTGTTTGATATCTGTCCCAGAATTCAACTGAAGTGTAACCAAAATCAAATAAAGTCAATTTTATGGCAATTCAAGACAAATAACTTTGTATTTTCATTCAATAAAAAAACACCTGTAAAAGAATCTGAACTTAATACACAGAAGCAAGAGTCTGAGTGTGTGTTTGTGTGTATGTTTTATACTCTGGAAGCTCATCAGAAGACCCTCACTGGGGATTCTGGATCCCAGATAAATGCACCACTGACATTTCAAGAGGAAAAATAAAAAGATCAGCCAGCTACCAGAAATTTATGAGTCTTTTTTCCAAGGAGATATTTGAGTCTGCAGATAGTGAAGAGGCTTCAGACCGTGAGCAAGTTCAGACATTGCAGCTCTTGTTTCAGAGAGCTCTTCACACTGGTGCCCTGCGGCCTGTATCTCTTCTCTGCAAACCTTAATAAATCCATATTACAGACAGTGAAAACAACACCAGCATCTCCCTGAGCCAGTTTTTTGCTCATCCTCCAAGCCCCAGGAGCCATTAGGTATTTTATGGCAGAACTATTTTAAGGGGCATGTCAACATTTTGTGCAACCTTTCCACCAGCAGTCCTGGTACTGGGACCAGCCTACATCTGTGTTAAACTGGGACATGCTGCCATCATTTTGAAAAGGCGTCCAGCTCAACAGGCTCAATGCCATCAGGGTCACCGACTCATTATTGTAAGGCTGTTTGTCACCGTAGTTCAGACCTGTGATTAGACAGAGGTAAAAATATGGATGTTTGCTGGAGTGTTTCCAGATCTCACTCTGGCCTAGTGATGAGGACAAGGAGATTTACTGTTTCTCAGAATGTTCCCAAATGTGACTTAGCCACAAAGTTCAAAGCTGTTCACTTTGGCCTTAGAGTCGGGTAGCTGTTACTGATTGAACTGGGTTTTGTTTCTTCATACAGAAATTCCAAGAAGTTCATTTCCATGTGTTCATTAGACAGCTCCATAGCTGGTATATTATGCAAATGTCAGGTTTTATGGCCTGATGGACTTGAAAAGCCTCTGAAACAGTTTTTTTTTTTTTTTTTTAGCACAGTGGGACATTAAAACTCTCAGTGGAACAGAACGATCAGGAGCTCTTAAAAAGCAACGACAGAGCAAAATCTGTAAAACACTCTGAACAAACAGGTTTTTAGTTTTAATACAGAATAAATTTAATAAACAAAATAAATCAATTAAATGCATAAAAAGTGTAATAAAAAAAAACAATTGCACTGCCTGTTCTCGCTACCGTGGGTCCACCACTGTGTCTTTTTTATATATATTGTTCAAAATAGAAATTACTGGAAGTTGTAGTGGAGTTCAACAGATGCCAAATATGATGGAAAGAAGTTGTTTTAACTATAAGAATGAGATGAATGAAGATATCTGGAACATGGCATCATGGTAGAATGTAGAACAAAATGTTTAAAAGTTAAAGCTGCATATAAATGAATGTTTAAAGAAATGTATGTGCAGACATTTCTGAGTAACATGCGTCTATGAATTCGTGACCTCATCACAGCTTGGTGCTCTGCAGAGCGGTTGTAGCAGCTGTTGTTGAACCGTCACAGAGCATGAGCATTTGTAGTAAGTTGGATCTAAAGAGACAAGTATGATGCTGAAATCATGATGGGTTTTGCATGTGCAGCAGGTGCACTGTGCCAAACTACATGACTAATTTAATCCTTTTAACAGGCAGATACATGAGGTCACCATTGTAGCTTGGGTGGAAAGAGAGGATAACTGAAAAAACACCCAACATTCCTGTATATGAACCTGTAAGCTCACACATTTTTATAATAACTCATAATTTACCTGCAGGGTGTTTGTACACGGAGAATGTTTGGTTTTCAGTGTTTTGTTCTGTACGTCCTGGCACCAACTGAAATGTACTGTAAGTTCAACCCCTTTCCAAAACGTTCTCCCTGTGGGACATGTGTGTTAGACAACACATGCTCTTTAAGAATGGTTTCAGAGACCTTTGCAGAGACAGTACCCACAGAGTCAAGAGTAAAATTAGCTATAATTAGCATTAGTCATCTGTCCTGATGACGGTACCAGCACAAGAAGTCAGGCCTGTGATTTTTCATGCGTGCGATGACCGTTTACCCCCAATACTTAGCTACAGTGTGTTTTCTGTCAGAATGACGTCTCGTCTCGAAAACAAACTCATTGTGAGAGAGCTCTGCACAAAAAGGTCAAAACCTCAGCGGTGATTTACACACCAGTAAGTGTTTAAATGAAAGTAGCCTCATCCATCATAGGTGTGATTTACACACCAGTAAGTATTTAAATGAAAGTAGCCTCATCCATCATCCTCTCGTGCTTTCTTTTGTTTATTGTATGTTTTTTTTTTTGCTTAGTTAATATAATAGTGTTTTTCACAATGATGTAAAATACAGCTGTGTTTTTTTCTCAGCATAATCGCACAACTACATTGTTGGTTGCGTGGTAAAGAAATGTGGCAATGATATGCTTTTATGAAGCTGAGCTGTGACCTGAACCAGTATCTAATAATAAGACAGCGTCTACGCTGACTGCTGACACATGCTATGTATGTACTGCTTGCATATTTGAAGTGAGCCATCAAATGGGAACTCCTCAAAGAACAGGTTTCTGTCGACTCTGGCATCCTGCTCCTGGTGGCACCTCATGTAATAACGCAAACCGTCTTGGAAAGAAGCGGGTCCAATTTCCTGCCTTTTCAGGATTTCTGAATAACAGCAATCACACCCTGAGTCAAAGGGGAGTGATGGATGTTTGAAGAACCGCCCAGACGTCACAAATCATCCTAAACCTCCCATAAATACAAGCTGAGCCTGAGTGTTCATCCTGCTCAGATGTGCATATGTTTGGACGTAGCCTCAGGACAGATGTGTGCATGAGCAGCATGCCCGTGTCAGCCACATGGTACAGTATATGGCTGCAGAGGTAGGTTTCACCTGTTACAACAAGGAAATACACTCAGTGGTCAGTTTATTAGGAACACCTCTCTCAGACAAAGTCAGTCTGACCCACCAGTCCTGCAGTAAACCCTCCTTCGTGAAGGTGATGATGTTCAGTCTGTTTCACAGAGGAGTTGGTTCAACTGTGTGATCACTGTGGAGGGCAGAGGGAACAGTGAAGGAGCATTAAAGAAGCACTTAAAACCTGTGGCTACCCCAACTGGGTCTACATCAAAACCACAAACAGATCTGGTATGAACCCCTCTGAAGGAGACCGTTAAGAACAAACCACAAAACGATTTCATTCCATACATTGCTGGTTTGAAAGCTGAGTGAAAGAGGCCATCTATGTCAAACTGGAGTCACCACCACAGAACAAAAGGGGGTGGCCTACAGCACCACCTATCGGCCACTTACAATGCAGCCTTGACCATTTAACACCCATTCACAGCCAGTTACAAGTGAAGAAGCTTCTCGGGTGAGAGATGAAATGTCTTCAGGAAAGTCAAGCAAGCCCATTTGACTATTTTTAGTGCTTAGCCAGAACAAACTGTTCTGTTTTTCATGTGTCCTTTTACTTTAGTACATTCAACATCACTGCAGGTATTTTAATCCTAATGAGCTCGGTATGTCAGTAATTAAGAACATTTGTAGAAGCTGCTGTTCCAAAAGGCCACACGCACGTTTGTTCAGGCAGGAAAGACCAAATATTTATTTTAAAGAACAATTGTTGCCTAAGGTTCATCAGTCAGTATATGTAACTGGGGAAATTTACAGTGATCAGTGATCAAGACTGGATTTCCTGTTTCTGGCTGCAGTCAGGATATCATGAAGCTACGTGAAATTATTAAGTTACTTCAGAGAAAATGACACTGTATGTGTATACCGACATAACTAATCATTTAATTTGATGTTTATGCACAACAACACTGATTGTTACTAATTTGTGGTTTTCTGTGAGAATTTGATATTTTATAGAGTAAATCACATAAATGCCCCCGATGCCGAGACAAAAAGGTGCCATAAAGTGTACTGATGTCATGATACACAGCCTGTTCCAGTTCTGTGCTGATCACATCTTGTTAACATCTGATGGTTTTAACTTGTTTAAACATCAACACAAAAATACTGTATACTGCATATGATGAACAACAGCGTGGCAGCTGATGACTAGAGTTACAGCTTGATGTTTGTATGCCTCCACCAACCACTCAAATGTACATGAATGGGACAAACATGAGGTCACAGTGACCTTTGACCTGTGACAACCAAAATCTAATCAGTTCATCCTTGAGTTCAAGAGGATATCTGTGCCAAATTTAAAGAAATTCCTTCAAGGCATTCCTAAAAATTCACAACAATGGGCCGGACAGATGGATGGACGATCCAAACATGTAATGCCTCCAGCCACAGGACTGGCTGTTGCTAGTGAGGAGGCATTAAAATAGGTTAGACACTTTCTGAGCCCCTTCTGCACTTCCCATAGTTTGTAACTGCAACATTTGCTCAAGGGAATACCTGACAGAACAAAGTTGGCAAGGAAAACCTTTACCCACAATTAGTGGTAAGTTGGGTTGTCGGTCTTATAATGGCAGGATGCCATAGAATCATAGTGGATGTCACCCAACACACTAGTGTTTGTGTCTCTGGCCAAAACATTCACCTTTACTTCACAGTTTTTCCACCATGTGACACTTTTTAATGTGATCTAAATGGTTCCTCTTCCGCATCGGAATAGTGCATTTTTTTCCGCATGATGGAACTAAACTCAAATATGATTTATTTTGCTCTGTCTGGTCATTCCGACCTAAAGACCAAATGGAAGCATTTTGTTTTAATGCTGGTTCTGGAAATCAGCAGTGAGCATCATGTCACTTTGGCAAAATCCTGTCTATTTGTTGGTCCGCATAATGGAACTAAACTCAAATAGGATTTATTTTGCTCTGTTTGTCTGGTCACTCTGACCTAAAGACCAAATGGAAGCATTTTCTTTTAATGCTGGTTCTGGGAAATCAGCAGTGAGCATCATGTCACTTTGGCAAAATCCTGTCTATTTGTTGGTCCTAGTTATTGATGTGTCCTCTGAGTCAGGCCTGTGCTGGGCCAGTCAACAACCTGGGGAGATTCTCCACATTTTCTCTGGAGGCATTCAGTATCACTGATCTCTAGGAGATGAGCTTCACTCAGGAGTTTGTGCTGTTCACCTTTTCCACGTTTGTCCATTTGTTTTCACACTCACACTGGTGAGACGTGACTGAAAATAAACATTGCTGCCTGTTTCTCATTATACTAATTGATGATTTAGCGTATCAGTGGCAGCTGACTACATATAAACTCACGCTGTGCTCAGGCCGAATAAAAACGGCAGCTCTTCTTCTAATAGGAATTTGGCTTTGACTGAAGCTCTCCAGCAGTTTCCGTTGTCTGGCAGAGAGCAGGATTTTGATGAACAGGAGAGACAATCTGTTCTGAGTAATGTCATAAACAGTTTCACCTTTTACTGAGGCACAGCATCTGATGTAACCATCCTTTGTCTTGGATGAGAAGTTTGGAAATGGACATGGTAGTTACTTTTACTGTCCACCCTGCAGTAGGCACTGAGCCTTTAGACATCTCTATAGAAAACTGTCATGCATTAGCACATGACTAATATCCTGTCATGACGCAGTGCTATTTTCCAAACCTTTTAAAAGTAACCTGGATTCTCCCAGTCCTCATAAATCCTTATAAGTACTGCACTTAACATTTCACCACAATGTCTGCAGCACTGCAACTTCGACAGCACAGAAACAGATTGCCAGGTTTAAAGGTTTGCTTGTACTGTGCAAATGTCAGTGTAAATTCTGATAGACACATTTGAATGCACAGTCACGGCGCTAATGCTTTTCCCAGCAGCTTCCACAGACCTGAGTCATAAGCCATCCTTCATTCAAATGGGGGAGGATGAATGCTCTGCCAATCATGCATATGCCAAGTCCTGTCCTCCTCTGATGCTCTATGAACACTGAGCTGATTCTTCCGATTCTATGAACACAGACTAAAGGTGCTGCTGACTGCAGGAGATGAGCAGCACTGAGCAGCGAAGGCCAAGCTGCCCCGCAGCAGCCCCCCTGGACGCGCAGCACTGAGCGGCGAAGGCCAGGCACGGCCTGTCCAAAACGCTCAGAGGGAGCAGCCCCCCTGGACGTGCAGCACTGAGCGGTTGGAGGCCAGGCTGCCAGGCACGGCCCGTCCAAAAGGCTCAGAGGGAGCAGCCCCCCTGAACACGCAGCACTGAGCAGTTGAAGGCCAGGCAGGGCCCGTCCAAAACGCTCAGAGGGAGCAGCCCCCCTGAACACGCAGCACTGAGCGGATGGAGGCCAGGCTGCCAGGCACGGCCCGTCCAAAAGGCTCAGAGGGAGCAGCCCCTCTGAACGCACAGCACTGAGCGGTTGAAGGCCAGGCAGGGCCCGTCCAAAAGGCTCAGAGGGTGCAGCCCCCCTCAAAATCTCTCTCTCCTACCCGCAGCAATCAACCTAAACCACATTCCTTTGGACACTAGCAGGAAGCCAAACTACCTGAAGAAAACATGTCCCGAACCCGAAACCTTCTCACTCTGAGACAACTGCGCTACCACCGTGCCACTGTCATGCATTATTGACTGCACCACTGGTGGGTAGCGCTACCCACCACGTCCCCCTAATACCAGATTTTAAATGTTCAATGCAAAAGACACCCCACAGGGCAAATACTCCACAAAATGCATCCAAAAATTGATGCACTAATAACCTTCAGAATAATGACTACGATAGGAAATTCATAAACAACATTACAGCTTATCCAAGGAAGGACAAATTATGTGCCAGCTGTTTGGGGTCTATCACAGTGAGTTGCCATCTGTGCAAAAAAAAAAAACTTCAGCTGTAAATGTCGGTCCCTTTCTGTTTCCTGGACTGCCAGCGATGTAACCGGGGGGATGAAGGAGAGGCGCAGCCTGCTGAATAAGAACAGAGGGGGAGGGAGAGAGAGAGAGAGACAGAGAGAGAGAGTAATCGGAAGGCACCGAATTGTGCTGAGAAAAATCAAAAATGGTCAAAGCCAACCCGGTCCGGGGAAACACAGTTCAAACATAAGGCGACCCTTCGCAACAAAACAAGAAGGGCAAGTGTACCACTCACGAGGGTGTGTACAGGGTAAAACTATTATCTGGACCAGTTAAATGGGCTAGGTTCGTCTACTGGAGCAGTTGGGGCCCTTGAGTAAGCAAGGTGAGTTGGACAATGACCACCGACCAGTAAAAATACATTTAAAGTTGCCGGATTGTATTTACAGATTTAAACAGAACAGACATTTACACACAGTAACAAAAAAAATTTTTTTACAAAATGTATAAACCCAAAATAATTCAGCAAAAGGCTGAACAAAACTGTGCACCACAGTTTAAATGGTCCTTTTGTTGTTCCTTAGTCCTTAGATCAGTCCGAATGAGCAAATTCTGAATCTATCTGGAGTCCACTGCTGCTCTGCTCTGGTTAAATCCTATCAAATTGGGTGAGATCCAGATCCAGTCTAGCAGAGACCGTTTAGCTTCTGGCATATGCACAGTTCATAAGATCTGTTGTGGGAAGCTCGCCATCTCGTTCCAAACAAGTGTCGTTAAACTCTCGCTCCAGTTCACAATCATTCGACCCAATCTTAAGGCCTACCATAAACAACATAAAACATACATAAATACTTAAAATAAAACTCTAGGTAGCTTAAAACTTAAATAAAAGACCATTCTTTTCTTAATTGGTGCTCGTTAAGATGGCGCTGTTAGGTATTTTCTTAGTTGGATAGATATTTAGGTATTTGTTGTCTAGAAATGTGTAAGGCAGACAGGCTGTCTAGCTCAGGCTGTTGGGTGCTCAGTTCATTGTCATGAGTTCTGCAGGCTACATCTAGGTCAAGGTCAACTAGATTGCAGAGTCTGCAGACAGGATGAATATTGCTAGTAGCATGCTATGCTCAGCCGTAATCTTAATCATAATATCTTCC